ACACACTCAAACTGGTTAAAATGAACAGTGGAGTTCTCTTTTCTACTACATAATTTAAATATGGATAACTAAGCTTTGTCCTGGTTATATGTAAATACTTAATCCTTTAATTTGTAAACTTACTTAACAACAGTTTGAGGAGGAAAAATTGAGTTTAATGTACCAAATTTATTATATTGGCTGATACAATATGCACATTCAAAAACACTTAGCTGCCTTCTAATGAAAAATCCTTTCCCTTACCACTATTTTTTTCTAATTTTACTGTCAGTGTTTTATATAAATATCAGCGATCTCACTTTTTTCTCTCCCTTCTTACTTTATCTTGTTTTTGTAATTTTTAGTAGAGAGTACATTGGGCGGGGGGAAGAAACAAAAACAGGTAATGGGTTTAGAAAACCTCCTGATTATTGACGCCAATAATTCTTTTGACTGTCACTGCTATAGGGAGTTGATCCTGAGATTCTAGCAAGGTTAATGGGGAGGGGAAGAAAGGGACCCAGACCGGAAGTAGATGGTGTAAATGCTCCATTTCCCATTTTGAGACAGCACACCTTTGTAATCCAGGGCACACCCTTGCTAATCAATGCTTCACATCAGAAAATGTTCGTTATTTGGCAAACTTTCAACTTCGTAGACGGACCGACCATCCTTGGTGGTCCTGAAGGCAGAAAACCAGAAATGTTTGTGTCCTGATTGTTGGCTGTCTTTCTAGAGTCACCTGTACCATCAGAGGTGTGGAAGCTCAGTGAGATACTGAAGAGTCAGCAGAACCCTGTAGTCTGTGGTAAAGCTGCAAGGCTGCAGAACTCTGGCCAATCAGGTCTTGAGTCCCCAGTTCCTGACTTGTGAATGCCTTGTGACTCGTGAACAACTGACTGGACATTTTCTCTTCCTATTCTTACCTACTGCAGTCTGCTCCAACCCTCATCTTGTAATCACAACCACTTCCACAAGACGAGATGACTTGTGCCCCCTCCTGAGGTTCACATGAAAAGCTGTCTGTTTTCACATTTCTTTTCCACAACCTCGATTCTAACATCTTAATAGACCTGGGACCAAAGACCTATGTAACATCTTCCTCTTTTAAAAAATTTTTATTCTTTTTTTTTTTGGGTGGGGGGGAGGGCGGTTTAAATACATACAAAATGTAGCATCTTAACAACTTTTAAGTGTTTATTTCAGTGGCATTCCGTAAAACGGCAACTCTATACTCATTAACAATGACTCCCCATTCCCCATCCCCCACCAGCCCTTGGTCTCTATGATGCTGACTTTTCTAAGTGCCTCATATAAATGGAATCAAACAGTACTTGTCTTTTCCCCTCCTTTTTCTCTACCTTTCCCAAATCCCTTTAATTTACTTCAAACATGACCCCTCTCATGGGAGAAGTCATTCTTTTTAAATCTCTTCCTTACTCTTTTCCTCTGGGGAAAAAAAATTAAACCCTGCCTGGCCTCTCTTCCCTTCTTCCTTCCATTTATAAGCCTCCATTAAAAAAAGAGGGGGAGGGGAAACTACTGGGATAATAATTTTCTGATTCTTTTATATGAGTTTTGAAATGTGATTAACCATACAAGAGAACTAGATGCCAACATCCAAAATCTCTAAAATGGCCCGAAGTTCTTTTTAAAGTCTTCATAAAAGTTTCAATTTAACTCTTTCATCTTGATTAAACTTATTTCCCTTAAGCAGGAAGTGTCTTTTAACTCATTTGTATTGCTTTTTCTTTGGAGGCTCTCAGTACTCCAATAATAGTGTTTGAAGAGAATACCCTGGGAAGTGTATAACTTTCAACCGTGTTGTGGGTTAAAGAGATTTTTGAGGATGAGAGTCAACCAAATCACAACATTTAATACTGTGTCTCTAGGAAAGTATTCTCAGTTCCACACAGCCCCTAAGAAATGAACTTCTGGAATACAAGTTATTTATAAAATGGGGACTGAGTCTGTGTTATATACCTCCCAGAGATTTTCATTAGCAATACAGAACTGAAAGCTTTCGGCCAACTCAATGCCACAGGACACACAGTAAAGCCGACAACCAGGTCACAGCACCAGCATGTCCTTCAGACCCCCTGCTGGAATATATGGCCAATAAAGTTCAAGACCCAACTAGTCAATAGGCTGAACCTATAGATTCTATAAACATTCTATGATTCTGAACACCTATATGGTTTTTTGGATGTATTTTCTTGCACTGCATGTTAAAGAAACATATGGTTCACTACAGCACGTATAGACTTTGAAGACCCCACGGGAGAGGGCACTGAAGTTGGAGAAGACTGTTTTTTTTTAAGATTTATTTATTTATTTGACAGAGAGAGAGAGACAGTGAGAGAGGGAACACAGCGGTGGGAATGGGAGAGGGAGAAGCAGGCCTCCTGCGGAGCAGGGAGCCTGATGCGGGTGCTTGATCCCAGGACCCTGGGATCATGACCTGAGCCAAAGGCAGACGCTTAAGGACTGAGCCACCCAGGCGCCCCTGAAGTTGGAGAAGTTTTCCAAGAGAACAAGTCAGAGCTACAGAAGCAGAAGCCAGCCAGCTAATTGTATTGTTCAGCAGAAGCTGAACATACAGAGGGATACCAAAAACCATTAAAGGGCTACAAAACAAAAGTTAAAGAAACTCCCAACTCTTGCATAAATTGCCAATTTAAAGAACACATTAGCTGATGGTCCAATGAATCTCTGAGCTGGGAATGTTGATGAAGAAGTTCTGATCTGGGGGCGCCTGGGTGGTGCAGTAAGTTAAGTGTCTGACTCTTGGTTTCAGCTCAGGTTGTGATCTCAGGGTCATGAGATCGAGCCTAGTGTGAGACTAAACTCCATGCTCAGTGTGGAGTCTGCTTGGGACTCTCTCTCCCTCTCCCTTGGCCCCTTCCTCCCCATCTCTCTAAAATAAATAAATAAATCTTAAAAAAAAAAGTTCTGATCTGAACAGGGAAATACAAATAGGAATTGAGATCAAGCTACTAACAGGGCAACAGACATGCTAACAAGCAACCTACTTTTTTCTTCCCAAAGGTCTGTGTGGGACTGGAGGCAGCTGCCTTGGTCAGGGAGCCTAGAGATCCGTCCCTTTGCAATTAATGGAAAAGAAAGAAAGTGGCTTCTATTGACTTTTGTTTGCCGTCTCATGTTTTGGGCCAAGCCATTTGTCACAAAGAACATTAACTCACTCTCTAAACTCTTTGAACTCTTAGAGCCACTTTCACGTTATTTAGCACTTAACTCTCCAGTCTCATATTATTCTTTGAATACTTGGTACACACAAATCTGGCCTCCTCGTTAGAATCATAAACAACTTAAAGGCAAGTAAATTGACTTGCACTTCATTAGACTCTCCCATATACCAGGGCGCCTGGGTAGCTCAGTCAGTTAAGCGTCTGCCTTTGGCTCAGGTCATGATCCCAGGGTCTTGGGATCGAGTCCTGCATTGGGCTCCCTGCTCAGTGGAGAGCCTGCTTCTCCCTCTCCTTCTACCCCTCCTCCCTGCTCGTTCTCTCTCTCTCTCTCAAATAAATAAATAAATAAAATCTTAAAAAAAAAAGATTCTCCCATATACCTACACACGGCTGGGCACAGATGGGGTATCTGACAAACACAAGTTGATTAAATCACAGGATGATGTCCTCACATAGAGTCACAAGACTTAGAGCAACAAGAACTCCACATACCAATCTCAGCCCAACTTCCCAGGAAAAGCATGGATGGAAATTGGAAGCTTGGCCGTCACCAGGAGCCACAACGGGGTAGAGAAATCCTGAGTCCTGTGCACAGGGGAAACTGCTTACCACCTAGAGACTCCAAGCTCTGTGACAACAGGAACTGTGTTTTGTTCCCTACCCAGCACCAAGCACCTAGTAGGGGCTCAGAAAACATGTTGAATAAATGAAAAACATATGAAACCCTTTGGTCTCTTGGATTAGTGTCCCCACACCTTGTGTTTTCCTTCATTCATCATTTATCACCAAGCCGCAAAAGTTAAAATGACTCCAGAAAACAAACCAACATGGTACCCACATGGTACACAGGGAGGTGTGTACTTCCTCTTGGACCTGCCCAGGATGTATGTGGGGGGGAGGGGGAGGAAGGTCACTGGCCTGCTAGCCACAGGTCTGGGGCTTGCTGTGGAGGGACAATAGCTGCTCTCCTTGAGAGAAATAGCTGGATGTCAGATCAAGCTCTTGGCAGCCCCTAGGCAGTGGAACATTGCTCTGCATGGTCCCTGTCTGGCTGGCAGCTTCCTGCCAGGGAAGGCTGCCAAGCGGGTTGTGACAGCTGTGCAGTGCACAAATCTCCAAGGTTCTTTGGTGCACTGCCATTTCTGACCTGCCTGTCTGCTACTCGTGGGAAGTAGCTGGGAAGTTCTGGTGCTCAGGGACCCCATTTTCCATTGGCTTTCATTTTTTAGCAGGATGCCTGACTATTCTGTTTTTTAAGATGGGAGTCACTGGAAGATGGCCTTTAGCTTTTCTGGTCAACATGAACCTATTGATTCTGTGTGGGAAGAAGAACTACATTTCACTCTGTTCCGTAGCAGTGTTGGTTTTCACTGTGACCACATGACCACACTTGTTTACAAGCATCTTATCACAGTAATTGACATCTGTCATAGACTACCACTAGGAGAAACCCTATGTCTGAATAAATTTTTTTTTAATTAGCAATAATCGCACCTTGGATAAACCTCATTGGCTACGATACTGCCACTGTGCAAAGCTTGAATAATTTTTTTTTAAATTAAAGATAGTCTTGTAACCATTTACTTCTTTTGAAAAAGAAATGTCAAAATCTTAATGCTTATTACTTGGAATGTTTACATCTTACAGGATTTTGATAAAGGACTACTTTTTTTATAGTTTGTTAAAACGGCAACTTTTATTTAAAATTGCCAATAAGTAAACTCAATTTTCCATCAGGAGATGCACAGATGTTAACTTAGATTCCTTTCTGCACTGAAAGATGAAAGGTAAAAGTGAAATTTCAGATATTACCTTTTAGCATCGTTCGTCCAGTGGATCCTCCAAAAGTACTGAGTAGGCCACTTCTAGCCCCCAAAGATGTGGTCGCTTCTAGGAGAGAACCCGTGATGTATTGAGATATGGACGTCCTCTGCAGGGTGGCACGGTACTCACATAGGGTGTCTCGGACACACTGCTTTAAGCATGGACTAACGCTTATCCTTTCATGGGCTATCTCGGAGGCTGGGAGCTTTGTGAAGACATGGAGAAGAGATCCAGTTGTATTTTCTATTTCTTCTCCCCTTCTCACTGCATTGTAGATCTGTGAATAGCACAGAGTACAGGAAGTATTAATCTAGTTTCTTAGAAAAGCAAATTAGTTTGTTGACAAAATGCCAAAATGACTTATTAAGAAAGAAGGCTCAGTTGCTCTAAGCGCAAACACTCTTGAGCCTTGGACTCATGCATTAACCTGAACATTCTACAGACACCATTTATTTGGAAAAGCTATGTGTAGTTATGAAATCGGCCATTCAAACAACCCTGCTATCAAACAGAGCACTTACAAGTTGTTCCAACCAAAAATATATTCAGCTCAAATTTCTCCTCCTCCTCCTTAGTAGAGCAAAGCGTTTCTGCAGCGTGACAAAGTCAAACCTTCCCTTTTTGTCCTTTTGGACTCTCCTGAGTGCCTGACTGTCCCAGGTCTGTCTGCCTCCAAGGAAACCTGAGCTTGACATTCATGAGGAATCTTTTCTCTATGCTCAAACTGCAGTGAGGATGAGAAGGTCAGGGGAAGGGGAAGTTCTATATTTCCCTCTTGGGTATAATCCTTCAATCCATCAGCTTGGTTCAAAGTCTTTGAATCCTTCTTCCCTCTTCATCCTGTTTCACCTCCCACATCCAATGAGTTGACAGATCCTGCCCACTCTTCCCGCTCTGTCTCTGTCACCATCCTGATTTCCTCTCCCCTATCACCCGAATTCACCAAGAATTATCTCAAGGAGATTGCACAATTAGGACAGGCTTCCAGCCATAATTCCAATACTGTTGTTCAACATGCATTTATACAGATCCTGCTCTGTGGGAGGCAGTGCACTGAAAGATGGGGGACATGCACAAGGAGCAGCACACACCTCCTGTGCTGAAAAACTGCACAATCTAATTTAGAAGATGAGGCCTGAAAATTATGAGGTTTGACAGTATTGCAGGGAGGTTCTGGGTTTTGTGAAGGTCTCTGGGAAGCCTGAGACTTCTGGATGGTATATAAACAACAGGGAAGAAATACAACATGGGTGAGTTAGTATAGTTTTCTGATAGTGGAATAAAAGTTGAGTATATTGTGTTGTCTCCGCCTTGAGCACCTTGCCTTGTCATTCATTCATCAAATCAACAAGTAGTTATTTTGTATTTATATACCAGTTATGTGTCAGGTCCAGGTAAATAAGACAGCTTTTCCCCTCAGAGAGTTCAAAGTCTAATAAGGGAGACAGATAAGCAAAGAGTTCATAGTAGGGTGAAAATGGAGGTCAATCCCTCTAGTGACATCAATGAGTATTCAAGGAAGAGAAGACCCTCATGTGTCCTGCAGGCTGTGAATGTGCCCCTGTGATGCTGCACACTCCAAATCTCACGTTAATCAGGACCCACCGGCACTCAAGAGGACACCCACTGAGCTATGCTAGGTCCTTAGGAGACCCTAGAATGTTCTTAGAACACCCCTGATATTCAAACCGCACTGACTCTAACTAGATTTCTATTCCGCCTTCTGCAGCCTACTGGTAGATATTTGCCACTTAAAGGAAGAGTCTGAATTCTTGAGCTTTAATTCTCTGTCATTAAATTTCTGGTGGCCAGTGTGGCCATGGAGATGTTGTGCTGGGACAGAAAGAGCCCAGGCCTTGGGGTCAGGTATGTGGGGTTGTACGGCTGGCTCTGCCTTGACCAGCTAAAGAGAGGGTCATAGACATGAACAAGCTGACTTGAATGTTCAGAGAAAGCTTACCCTTCTGTAAAGTGGAAATACTAACGCCCCTTCTTAGGAACATTGTGGGATTCACCAAGATCATATATGTAAAGTGCTCAACCTATTGTCTACAAATGGCACCCATTACTATGGAGCAAGAAGAGAGTGGACTCTTCCATCCTCAACGAATAGCAGGTGGTTGTATAACAACAGAGCACAGTCTATGAAATTCACCGTGATGGGGTTGTACCCTTGCTCTTCTGTGCTGCTGGATAATATCACCCTAACCTTATTTGGGTGTATTGTGAGGGCAAACTGGGGTTGAGAGTTGCAGAGCTCAGGACATGCCTTTCTTCTCTCAGTTCCAAATCATACAGGCAATCTCCAACACACTAAGTCTCAGATGAATCCTTCAGAAGTTTAAATGCTCCAGAAGTTCAGAGAAAAGAACCCACTGTGAAGTTTAATGGCTAAGAAAGGCTTCTGAGGAAAGCAGATTTGAGCTGTGCCTTGGAAAACAGGCACGGTTCTAATCAGAGCACCTGGGGGAGGCAACTCACATGCTAAGCAAGGGTGAAGAGGCTGGAAAACAGAAAATACCCTAAGGACAGTGAGCAGAGCAGGGTATTTAGAGCAGAGAATGAGTATAAGGCAGAGAATAAGTGGGAAATCAAAAAGGTTAGCTGGCCTGATAAAGGAGAGCCTTGAATGTCAGGCAAAGAGGTTTAATCCATCAGAGGTGAAGAAACCTTCACTTCTTTGGTTTATTTGTTTTTATTAGAGGAATGATGCTAAAAGGGCTTTATTTTACAAAGATTAATATGCTGATGGTTCTTAGTTACTAATGGGCTTACCTATTACCTACTTTCTTTACATGCCAAGCTGCTCCATTGGCTCATCATGCCTCACTCGTTACCTTATGCATTCCAGTTTCCACAACACTCCTTCAGAGATTCCCAGTGGCTCATTCAGTCCCTTATCCAGCTTTCCCTAAATGTTTTCCTCAGATCATTAGATCTAGAAGGTCTGTAGGAAATAAGGACTCCTTGATCACTGAAATACTCAGTATTTATTTCTCCTTTTGAAGATTTACATTGCATATTAGGATATTAAAGACAATGAAAAGGGTCAGAGTAAAGAAATCCATCTTATATTGTTTAACTGAGTGTTTGGAGTATTTATGATGTTACTTGACCATGGATTTCTTTTTCTTTCTTCCTTTCTTTTTTTAAGAACATAGTATGTGAACGTAGTCTTGTATCAAATAATTATTCTCTTTTCCTTGACCTCTGTGAAATCTCTGAAATAGACAATCATCCATCTTTCCCGAAGTCCTGTCTCTTTTATTATCTTACTGCTACATCTCTGCCTTATTCTGTGGCTCCCCTTCCTCCATGGGCCTTTGGGACAGCTGTAACACAATACAGATATGCCACCCAGTGACTGATGTAGGGGGGTGACATATTGGCTGGCCATGGGTCAGATTTATCAAAAGACCTGTCTGATCTGACACATAATGTTTTAAAATCAGGAAAGTGGGGAACCTGGCTGGCTCAGTTGGTAGAGCATGCGACTCTTGATCTCAGGGTCCTGAGTTTTTGCCCCATGTTGGGTGTAGAGATTACTTAAATACATAAATAAATCTTTAAAAAATCAAATCAAATCGGGAAAGTTTACATACACATTTGAAGTTACAGCATTTCCTAAAAACTGGAACAATCTGGCAACACTGAACATTCCCATCTGGTATCAAATGGCTAGACCTTTCCCTGTTGCCTGGGGCATGAGTTCTCCAGTTGGCACCAGTCCCCACCCCTCTCTAGTGATCACATATTGCCAATATCTGGTCACTATTAGTATATAAGTGTGTGATCCATGCCTTAATGGGATATGAACATGGTTGTAGCTATATACAATAAACCGAGCTCCCCCGACATGTACTGAGTTCCCCCAACATGTCCTCCTAGGTGATCTTCCCTTTGCTATTCTGCTCTCAAGGGGTGTTGCAGTTTATCTCCAACATATGTAAATATTATGTATGTACTAAATAATCATGCAGCATTGCCATCAGCCCCTTGTTTCCAAGTCCTCAAACTTCTCTGAAGAAATAAAGATAAAGAGTTCTAGAATAAACTCTACCACCATTGCTAACACTCCATTAAAAACAAAAAAGAATCTACAGGTTCTACCAAGATCTGGACCAACACTTGCCAGTCACACCAATCCTGGGTAAGCTTTAATAAGGTACCTGTTAGAAGGCTGAAAAATGGATCAAGTACTGGTAGATATGGCGATGCTCGGGGAACATGTTAAAATCAGGCTATAAACTCTTATTAGATCATCCACACTTACAAAAAAAGAAGCAACCATGGAAAGTCCCACATATATAGAGTGGGAAGAAGATGTAGTATAGAACAGTCATTATAAATGTGGCTTTGGAGTGTTGGTTTGAATCCTAGCACCCCTGCTTCCCAGCTGTGTGACCTTGGATAAGTTCTGTGCCTTATCCACATCATTCTGTGCCTCCTTTTCTCCAATATGGGAATATAATAGTATGCCTCATAAAGTTGAGGTAAGGATTACAAACTTTTATAAATGTAACTGATTAGAACAGCACCTGCCACTTAGTAAATGCTCAACAAATACTGTTTTTTACAATGACGGCAACAATGTTGATTGTGGTAGACTGTAAAAATGGCCATAAATTATTTCCTTCACTGATTCTAGGCCAGCCCTGTGATTTGCTTAACCAATGGGAATTTAGCAAATGTGATGCATGCCAAGTCTTGAAAAATACTTGTGCATTCGACCTTGTTTCTCTTGTTGCTTTTGGGAACTCTGCAACAACTGTCATGTGGAGAAGCCGGAACTAGCTTGCTGGAAGATGAGAGACCATGGCCCAGTCATTCCTTTCACCCTGGTGGACAGCCTGCCAATAGCCAGACACATGGTGAGGCCATCCTAGATCCTAGATCATCCAATTGCCAGTCCAACTGCCATCATAGATACACGAGAGAAACCAGCAGAGTCTCCTGATCCAGATTAGGAGAACCACCCAGCCAATTCACAAAAACACAAGCTAAATAAATGATTGTTGTGAAAAGTCATTAAATTTGGGGAGTGCTTTGTTACAAAAGTTAACTGACAAAATGATGGTGTGTTGGGTGCAACAGGTATTTACTTGCGTGAGATCTGAATCCACACACTAACCCTGTGAGTTTGATTTATTTTGCAGATGGAGACAGTAAGCCTAGAGAGGTGGAGAAATACAGCCAACTTCACCCAGCTAGTAAGAGGCTGGGCCAGGACTGAAATCTGGTTTGTCCAGCTCTGTGGTCCAGCTTGATCCGTTGCAC